GGCCCATAACGAATTATGACCCACAAATAGGATTTAATTGATAAATTCAATTAATCCTCGTGTCCAAAACGAGCTTAAAGGAGCTTATACCTGATAATTAAATACAGGTCCAAATTCTTAATAAATTTCTCAAGTCAAGGCCCAATGTTTAAAAAAAAGGTTCCAAAGATTAAACAAAGCCCAAATTCTTAAAAAAAACTTTGCCAAGTCAAGGCCCAATGTTTAAACAAGCTCTAAAGATTAAACAAGGCCCAGATTATTTGGTCTGTGCCCTAACTTTAACGAGTTCTACAATATACTCGTTGTGAACGAATGAACGCAATGAATGAATGAACGCAATGTTCGTTTGAACGCAATGAACGAATGAACGCAATGTTCGTTTGAACGCAATGTTCGATGAGAACGAACGCAGCGTTCGACGAACGCATGTTTCGTTAGAGAACGAACATGGGTTCGTTTGAGAACGAACGCAAGGTTCGTTTGAAGCTTTCAAGCCTTGCCAAAAATTGAGGTAACCACCTCCTTAATTTCCACACGTTTTCACGCGCACGAACCCCTTGAGGGTTTAATCTGAAACCGCCGCCGCTGAATCAACTCCGGCGAGGAGTTTTGGAGATTGATGATAGATCAAAAAAAAATCCCAAAAAAAAGATAATTATTTTTCTGTTAATTTTTGAACTCAAATCATTTTAGATCCAAACCTCAAAAATTGAATCAAACACAAAAGAAATGAACATTAGAGTTCATAATTGCTACAGATCCAAAAATCGAAAGAAAAAACCAAACAAACTGGAAATTTTACTATTCATCCGAAAATAGAAAACCTTTATTGTTCATCCGAAAATAAAAAAATTTACTGTTACCCGAAAATAAAAAACTTTTCTGTTCATCTGAAAATAAAACGGTTACTGTTCATTCGAAAATAAGAAACTTTATTGTTCATCCGTGAACGGATCTGAGTCAAATACAAATTAAGATCAAAGAACCATAATTTTAATCTTAATCTCTTAGAACAAATCAATGGTGACTCTGATACCACTTGTTAGATCTAATAAAAACTTGAGATCTAAACCATAAAACCATGATTTAATTCAAAGAGATTAACAAGAATCAAAAGGTACGGAAGCATATACCTGAATCCATTGAAGAAAACTTGATTAGGGTTTTGATGATCTTCTAACCTTAGGGTTTCTCTCTTATGGATCTCTTTAGATGGGGATAAGAGAATGAGAGTGGTTAACCCTAGATTAGGGACAATAACCCCTTATATATAGGTGTTGTACTTTTGTAATTTGGCCCCTCATCAAATTACAATTACAACCTGGTATCTGCACATATAACCCCCATGATTTATTACAATTACAACCTGGTATCTGCACATATAACCCCCATGATTTATTTAAATACCTATTAACCCAAATTCATTGATCACTTTAAGTGAGTTATCCTTAAAGATAGTAATACACATTGATTAATCATATGTGCCCACAAATAGATTTAAATCCAACATCATACCCTTTTGTTTTCAAATATTTCACGTTGCTACCTTTTGTTATTTGGTTGTTAGAATACTCTAGGAATCTTTATTTTTATTTTTTAACGGTAGATACTTTAGGTATTTTTTTGTAGGGTTTTAAAGCTTGGGGTTTTTAGTGCAATATTAGGCAAACTTTGGGTATTTTGATGTAATTTACCTTTTTTATTTAAAGCCCGTAGGGGATATTTTCTCAATGCGAACTTTTCTTAGACTTTTTAATGTTAATTACACAGATCAGGATGCGGCACTAGTTTGATATTAGACGAGGTTTGTAGCGTCGTCATCACCCTTACCGTCTTGAGTCACATGCTTATCCAATTAAGATTAAGTACGGTTTTCTACCCATCGAAAGAATGAAAAATGAAAGAAAATATCCAATCAAATAAATGAAATTACACCAACACCAAAAGCATGGAGGGGTGCAAATGCAATTCATTCATTTGTCCCTTCATTCTTAGCTTTAATGCTTCGTACCCTCCGCCATGCTCTTATGAAAGGTAAAAGAACAAATTTTCACTGCAGACCCAAACCAACTTTTAATTATCAAAATCGACTCATTTTTTTAATTACCAAAATCGACCCACTTTATGCCACGTAAGCTTAATCGCATTTCCTAATTAATCGGGGTTGTCAACCCCGACTGTTTAGGGTATTAAAAATCGAGTTTAAGGCTTCTAATTGAGGTTTAACAACTCCTAAACAGTCGGGGTTGGCAACCCCGACTAATTAGGAAATGTGATTAAGCTTACATGACATAAAATAGGTCGATTTTAGTAATTAAAAAAATGGGTCAATTTTGGTAATTAAAAGTTGGTTTGGGTCTACAGTGAAAATTTGTTCAAAGGTAAAATCTTACAGGCTGAGCATCTCGGGATGCCCATGTCTCCGAAGGCCATGATAGCTAAGATATCCCAAAAGTCAAGTCAATCAAATTATGCAAGTTCAATGGTAAAAGATGCCATCCGGTGAATGTCACATGCGCCTATCTAAAAGGGAAAGCAAAATAGTAAAGCCATCAAGTATACAACCATATATACAATCAAGTAAATAACGGATACGAGTCAACAGTTCATTTCACTAAAATCCATTTTGCTAGCCGTAACAAAAAGCATGTATACCTCACTTCTCTTGTCTCTCAATAGCTCATTTTGCTAAATAAACCGCCAACTCATAACAATCATTCTCATATATCAAAGAGGACATACAAATGATGACAGCTCAATTGTTCCAAATGAACCTTGAAGAGACACGTGTTAGTTGCTCATATACAGTGAACCCATAACTCCTATGAAAATGCATCAAAGAAAGGGTAATGTTTAGATTAAGGACATACAAATGATGACAGCTCAATTGTTCCAAATGAACCTTGAAGAGACACGTGTTAGTTGCTCATATACAGTGAACCCATAACTCCTATGAAAATGCATCAAAGAAAGGGTAATGTTTAGATTAGCAGCAACACTACTAGGGAAACAACCACAAGATCTACTGTTATTGAAATGAGATTTTCTCTGGCTTCTCATCTTCTGAGCTTGTTCACATGCTTTTATTATCTGCTGAGAATGCTGCAGTTGTGCTGATGCCCTCCACTCCTCTGCTCTTCTGTTCACAACTGCCATTCTTTTCATCAGCTTTTCCTCTAAATCTGATCTCATCTTTTGTATCTTTACCTGCAAACAAATTTAAGCATTCATAAAGCATTCTGTTGAAATTGGCCTTTTCTTGTTGTAGTATTTCATGGTCAAAACAGTCAAAGTGTCACGTCACTCGTCATAGTATGGGGAAGAAATATATAAATTTGAACTTAAGGGAGTGTTTGGAGGATAAAAGTAAGTTTTTAAAGGAATTGTGATATTTCAAACTTTTAACAGATTCAATCACTTTCTCATACTTAGGGTGGGCCTAACATTTCCCATAAAATCTTGAGAATTTCATAGAATCAGAATCAGACAGCCCAGTAGGTTTGTTTGGTTCGCATTGTAAAAGGATAAAACTGGTTTTCATGTTTGCCACATCAGCTTTGGAAATCTCAAGCGAAAAGGTTTACATATCCTATGGTTGGTTTGTTTGATGATTTATATAAAAGATGTCTTAAAAATCTCATTCCCGTTCTATTATTATTATTTTTCTTCCATTAAACCTATTTCAGCTCTAAAACCTCTTAAATGGGTTTCAAGTCATGCGGTAAGTCTCATGCGTTTATGGTAAACAAACCAAACAACTGGAGTTAAAACCGAAAAGTTTATCTTCTTAAATTCTATGACTGGCAATCACATGGCTTAAGACGTTGAACTTATAAAATGTTGGTAATGTGGGTTGAGGGATAAAACTACCAACATCTCTTTATTAACTGGACAGGTGGGATTATAAAACAAAAAATACCGACCTAGCACAATCATGAACGGCATTTTTCACAAGTGTAAAAGAGAATGAGAAATCGTGTCAGTATTTTTTCTCAGCCTCTCCATTTCTCAAATTTACAGCTTAAATCTTCTTTAAAATGGTTGTATTCACAAATACTTATAGAAACTTGAGTCGTTTTGTAACTTCATTAGCTATTTACACTCAGCTATGTCGATTGCCCCGTAGTGTGCCACATTAGGGGTATGGAACCTGCTTGTAAGTTTCTCTACACAAACATATACAGATATATCGGGGCAAAAATAATTGGACAGTATCAAAACAAAACAAAAAAGGATCTCAAGCATCAGTTTGAATCTTTAAACTGTTAGTTTAATTATAGCTTACAGTGCAAACTTTTGTCTCCTAATTGGAATTTGTTGCACTTCATACAACAATCTGGCCAAAGATGAATATTTTAAGAGAAACCAACCCTGAATTGAATTGTTGTTTTTAATAAGCATGATACACGGTAAATCTTAATTCTTGTTGCCCTTTTCACTATCCAGCTTTAGTGCGTGAATGTGGTCCAATGGAAAAGAAAGAAAATTTTGAATATCAAATTTATCCAATGACTATGAATTTAGTGGGATTCTATTCTTTTGATACACTACTTAGTACTAATTGAAACCTCTCAAAGTCATAATTTAGTTAAGAAATCGAATAATTGATAAGTAAGATAACAAGATCAACAAATAACATTAAATTACTATTATTACCTCAAGCTTCCTAGATTGTGCTTCCGCTTTTGCTTTCTGAAGCTTCATCCAAGCTTGAATCCTTGCTTCTTCTCTTTGATATCTACAATGACGGAAAACAAATTATTAAAATAAAAAAACAGCACATAATATCTCAAAATTTTATTTCAAATCTACCTTATGCAACTCTTAGTCCTCTCCTCATCTTCCCACACAAAATCTCTAGCTTCTTCAATGCTCTTCCTCCCTCCATCCATTTCAAAATGCCTCAAACTCTTTGATATCTCCTCTTCCTCCTCTTCTCTTGAGCTCCATTTTGAAGGTACTGAATCAAACTGAGCCCCGAGATCGAGCTTCGCAAAATGGCAATCCTTGTCCTAAGCTGTTGGCCTTTTCTCCCTTGTATTTTAGAGCTGGCTATTGCAAGGGAAACAACCACAAGATCTACTGTTATTGAAATGAGATTTTCTCTGGCTTCTCATCTTCTGAGCTTGTTCACATGCTTTTATTATCTGCTGAGAATGCTGCAGTTGTGCTGATGCCCTCCACTCCTCTGCTCTTCTGTTCACAACTGCCATTCTTTTCATCAGCTTTTCGTCCTAAGCTGTTGGCCTTTTCTCCCTTGTATTTTAGAGCTGGCTATTGCAAGGGAAACAACCACAAGATCTACTGTTATTGAAATGAGATTTTCTCTGGCTTCTCATCTTCTGAGCTTGTTCACATGCTTTTATTATCTGCTGAGAATGCTGCAGTTGTGCTGATGCCCTCCACTCCTCTGCTCTTCTGTTCACAACTGCCATTCTTTTCATCAGCTTTTCCTCTAAATCTGATCTCATCTTTTGTATCTTTACCTGCAAACAAATTTAAGCATTCATAAAGCATTCTGTTGAAATTGGCCTTTTCTTGTTGTAGTATTTCATGGTCAAAACAGTCAAAGTGTCACGTCACTCGTCATAGTATGGGGAAGAAATATATAAATTTGAACTTAAGGGAGTGTTTGGAGGATAAAAGTAAGTTTTTAAAGGAATTGTGATATTTCAAACTTTTAACAGATTCAATCACTTTCTCATACTTAGGGTGGGCCTAACATTTCCCATAAAATCTTGAGAATTTCATAGAATCAGAATCAGACAGCCCAGTAGGTTTGTTTGGTTCGCATTGTAAAAGGATAAAACTGGTTTTCATGTTTGCCACATCAGCTTTGGAAATCTCAAGCGAAAAGGTTTACATATCCTATGGTTGGTTTGTTTGATGATTTATATAAAAGATGTCTTAAAAATCTCATTCCCGTTCTATTATTATTATTTTTCTTCCATTAAACCTATTTCAGCTCTAAAACCTCTTAAATGGGTTTCAAGTCATGCGGTAAGTCTCATGCGTTTATGGTAAACAAACCAAACAACTGGAGTTAAAACCGAAAAGTTTATCTTCTTAAATTCTATGACTGGCAATCACATGGCTTAAGACGTTGAACTTATAAAATGTTGGTAATGTGGGTTGAGGGATAAAACTACCAACATCTCTTTATTAACTGGACAGGTGGGATTATAAAACAAAAAATACCGACCTAGCACAATCATGAACGGCATTTTTCACAAGTGTAAAAGAGAATGAGAAATCGTGTCAGTATTTTTTCTCAGCCTCTCCATTTCTCAAATTTACAGCTTAAATCTTCTTTAAAATGGTTGTATTCACAAATACTTATAGAAACTTGAGTCGTTTTGTAACTTCATTAGCTATTTACACTCAGCTATGTCGATTGCCCCGTAGTGTGCCACATTAGGGGTATGGAACCTGCTTGTAAGTTTCTCTACACAAACATATACAGATATATCGGGGCAAAAATAATTGGACAGTATCAAAACAAAACAAAAAAGGATCTCAAGCATCAGTTTGAATCTTTAAACTGTTAGTTTAATTATAGCTTACAGTGCAAACTTTTGTCTCCTAATTGGAATTTGTTGCACTTCATACAACAATCTGGCCAAAGATGAATATTTTAAGAGAAACCAACCCTGAATTGAATTGTTGTTTTTAATAAGCATGATACACGGTAAATCTTAATTCTTGTTGCCCTTTTCACTATCCAGCTTTAGTGCGTGAATGTGGTCCAATGGAAAAGAAAGAAAATTTTGAATATCAAATTTATCCAATGACTATGAATTTAGTGGGATTCTATTCTTTTGATACACTACTTAGTACTAATTGAAACCTCTCAAAGTCATAATTTAGTTAAGAAATCGAATAATTGATAAGTAAGATAACAAGATCAACAAATAACATTAAATTACTATTATTACCTCAAGCTTCCTAGATTGTGCTTCCGCTTTTGCTTTCTGAAGCTTCATCCAAGCTTGAATCCTTGCTTCTTCTCTTTGATATCTACAATGACGGAAAACAAATTATTAAAATAAAAAAACAGCACATAATATCTCAAAATTTTATTTCAAATCTACCTTATGCAACTCTTAGTCCTCTCCTCATCTTCCCACACAAAATCTCTAGCTTCTTCAATGCTCTTCCTCCCTCCATCCATTTCAAAATGCCTCAAACTCTTTGATATCTCCTCTTCCTCCTCTTCTCTTGAGCTCCATTTTGAAGGTACTGAATCAAACTGAGCCCCGAGATCGAGCTTCGCAAAATGGCAATCCTTGAGCTCAGAGATGTCAATGCAATTTCCAGAAGCCATTAGAGGTCCAGACCTATTAGCTGGAGTATTATGCCTTGCTGGAGACAAGCTCTTGATTGGAGTATTGAATCTTGTAGTTGTTGAGCTATTAAGAGGAGTCATTTCAGTGCCAATATCTCTATGATGAACCTCAGTAGCTCCTCCTGTGTCAGCATTTTTCACTGGCTCACACATTGAGTTGCTGAACAAAAATCCTTCTTTTGTGGGTTCCAAGTTGTCTGTAAATTTATCTGCAATGAAAATTTTCAAATGGGCATCTCAAAATTGGAAAGAATTGAACGTTGTGGCTAAATTAGACTAACCTTTAAGAAATACTTCCGATGGGTCTCCACAGAGAGCTGAGGTCTTTTGAGACATCACATTAACCCTCATTTTCTCTTCAAAGTTCTCATCTTTCTGGTGGAATCCACTGTTTTGTCTTGAGAACTTTGATGTGTCTGAGGATTTCTTCACATGGGCAGGAGATTCATGGCAAGAACTGCTCATAAGCCATTTCTCCGCATTTTCCCATTTTGAAGGAATGCTCTTTTTTGAGTGACTTCTAATGCTGAAGTTGAAGATTGGCCTCCCAGGGGTTGAGGGGGTTTCAATCCTTCTCTGCACTGAGCTCTTTCTACTCTCAGATGAGGAGCTGTCATTGCTGCTGCTGCTGCTGCTCATTGGGAATGACCTCACATAATCTGAGGTCTCCTTGAGATTGAGCTTACAGAGTGAATCAGGGAAGTTATCTTCAAATGGGTTTTCTTTGTCTGTAGCAAATGGTGATTCCTGAGAAAAATCATCAAGGAAAATTGATGTTAGTATAGAAATGTGGGTATTGGAAGAGAAAAAGGAGAGATTTTTACCCTTTTGTTTTTCTCACTTGCTTTGCTTACTTGAAACATCTTTGAATGTCGATGAAATTGTAGCAAAAAAGGCTTTGCTTTTACAAGAGGAGCACTCCCCTGTTTATGAGTGAATAATTTGAATTCTTAGAGAAGGGTTTGCTTTGATCCACTGGTATGTGTTTCGGTCTGCAACAATTTTCTATTTTTATTTCATTTCTTCTGTCTTACTGGTTGCTGCATTCCATGCTACTTCTATGATTAGTTTCCGGGTGTAGCTTAAAATAATGAACGACTTCCCATAAAAGTTTATTAAAGAAAAAAAAAGTAATGCAGGTGTTGAACTCATCCAACAAGCATAGGTTTTTTAGGGTGAAATGCTAATTAAAGATTCGTGTGGATACCATATTATTTTTTTGTTGTGTTTTTGTTAAAAAAACATTATAGTGTTGTGTTTTTTACTTAGACCATCTCCAACCCATTGCATCAAAATAGTGCAAATTTTGCATCAAAATGGGGCAAAAATCACATCAAACAGTAATACATCTCCAACCCATTGTATCATTTTTTGCACCAAAAAAGAATATTCTCAGTATATTCTCAGTTTATTCCCTTTTATCTACTTTTATATTAATTAAGAGGTAAAAAAATATTAAAAAAATTTAAAAAAGTGAACAGTAATACCGCGGATGAACAGTGTGACGTCATATTTGGCGTCGCACTGTTCATCTGCACCAAAATGCCGCAGCAAATGCGACATGATTGGAGCATGAACAGTTCAACGCAGCGGCATTTTACCGCTGCGTTGGAGATGCCCTTAAAGTATTTACTATATTGAATGTTTTTATCAACACTAGTTTGATCCCGTTACAACATTAGTATTAAATTATTAATATATTGTATATTAAGTATAATAAAATATATAATATTTAGTTTACATTATTATAGTATTTATAATATTAAATATAATACGATCTAATATTGTATAATGTATTAGGGAAAAGTGAATCTAAGGTGACACCCTAGGCTCCCACCTAAGGACGCGGTCTAGAATCACATCATTTCCTAAATTTTTTTTACGATCCACTCCGTTGAACTTGATTTACACGTTCTTAAACCCAAACACACCAATTTTGGGGTGAACCCGTTGTGTTTTGACCATTCGTTGAGCCGATCATTTCCTTTTTTTTTTGCGATCCGCTCCGTTAAACTTGATCTACACGTTCTTAAACCCAAACACACTAATTTTCCGGTGAACCCGTCGTGTTTTGACCCTTTATCCACTCGCTACAATTTTAACGGTTTTGAATGAATAGAACTTTTTACACGGCTTAACGAATGGTCAAAACACAATGGGTTCACCCCAAAATTTGTGTGTTTGGGTTTAAGAACGTGTAGATCAAGTTCAACGGAGCGGATCGTAAAAAAAATTTAGGAAATGATGTGATTCTAGGCCGCGTCCTTAGGTGAGAGCCTAGGGTGTCACCTTAGATTTACTTTTCCCAATGTATTATTATATTATATTATACTTTATTATGTTATATTCTATTATAATTATTACATATTATTTTTAAATAATAATATATTTAATTATCAATTTGTTGTTGTTATATGTTATATAATATTTTTTAAATAATAATATTTTATTATTAGTTTAATATTATACTATTATTAATATAATATAATATTATTAATAATGTTAATATTATGTTATTACTAGTATATCATTAAAAAATTAATATATATAATATTATTATTTCATTATTATTTTATTATTAAACATGTTACTATTATATAATATTTTACAATTGTTAATTTGTTATTGTTTATTTATTAGAAAATTAATAATATCATAATCACTATAATATGGTATAGTATATTATTATATCATTATTACGTTATTATTTAGTATTCATAGCTTTTTAATTATTTTTTATTAGTTTATTTATATTTTATTATTATTTATTATTATATACTACATTATCAACATATTAAATACTAATATTTAATATGTTATCATATTATCATATAAGATATTTTAATTATAAGATGTTTTAAGTATTATATTTTTATAGTATTTAATAAATATTACTGATATATTAGACTAACTATAATATAGTATAATATAATAAACATATCAATAATAACTATATATCAATTATATTTAATATATTATGTTAGATATTATATTAACACATTCTCAAACTCAAAACGAAAACATCAAACTTAAATGCCTAAAAGGTGTTTTGAAATAAGTATCTCGTTGTTGGTTTGAGGATGATATGGTTCAAAAAACACTATGGTTTTTAAGCGTGTGGTGTTTTATTTTTGGCAAAAATACCATGAAAATAAGAAAAACAACATGATATCCAAACAAAGCCTATAACTAAAGAGGTCTAAATTGATGTAGTTGCAATTTCATGTTAGAATCTATGAGTGTGTTTGGCAATCCACTCAAAATTAGGCAGCATGTAATGTTGGCCCAATTTCGAGTGTGTTTGGATTTTGAGTTGGGTTGCCAAACACACTCAAAATTTGGGCTTACGAATTAAGCATCCTCATTTTATTATATTTTAATATTGTAACGACATTCTTTTGATATTGTAACAACATTTTGGTGTTGCAACTATCTACAGATATAGTTAGAATAATATAGTGTTCAAGCTATAGCAACTCAAATACATCAATAATGATGCAATTACATTTTTAATTCCGGCACATCCTAACAAACATACCCTTAATTTCGCCCATCACCGAGAAAGCAAATGACCAGAGTCTCAGAAAGCTAGCTGTCATCAGTACTCAATGGACAGTGAGATCGATCATATACTTCATTAATTTTTGGCTACCCAATTAATTACAATTTGAGTTCATGTTAGTAATTTCCACAAATGATTTAGCTACTCAAAGCAGGGAAGGATACATAGGAACCATATTAGTCCAAGAATTGGGCAATTACTGTCTCCAAGACAGTAAACGTACCATTGGAAAGTGGAAAATTAAGCAGACAGGGTAAGATAAAGTTGTGTGACTGAAGCAACTTCGAATCCCTAATACTTCCAACTACAACACACCCTTTTAGACAGAACTTCCAGATTCAAAGGTTAGTCAAAGGTTATTGACATGTGGGGCCCGATACCTTCAAAATGGTATGATGCCATTTAAGCCTTGAATTCCTAATTAGTAAATAATAAATATGCACTAATTTCTACAAATAATAAATATGCTTGTTTTTATGAAATATTATTGAGAGGGAAAAAAATGAGTTGCTTGTTTTTAAAGTTTAAATTGTAGATTTTCACTAACTTCTGTTATTTAAAGTACAAACTGATTATTTATGTATCACAACATACTGGATTAGTGATAGTTGGCAAATGTTTAAAATATTTATTGCTTTTATTTCATTTCAAGAATCACATACTGGTGTAAACTGTTACAAATTGAATAATAGAAGAACTAACAAACTTAGAAATGTTTGAAAGAAATTTTTATTCATTCACAGGATAATGCAAGTAATACTAATATTGTTGCAAATCATACTTTTTATTACCATGTGATGATGATGATTTTTATTTAAAGATGCATATGCAATATTTTAGTTCAATTGTGCAAAGTGCATTTAATAAAATTAGATTAATGATAGAAAGAATTAGGAATATCACTTTTTCTCAATGCTTATGGAAAAAGACCTGATAAATAGAAACAACTTTGTAGAAGAAAAATATGAGAGCTAAAAAATTCCACAAGATGTCGATCATATGTGAAATTTTACCTATTTAATATTAAATTTAGCAATAGAGTATAAAAAATTGTAAATAATTTTATGAATTTCTATGCTTCTAGTTCTAGTACAAGAATGGAACACTATAACTTAAATATGCTATAAGTTATTTATGAAGCCACTCTCCTTTTATCTGGTTATTATTACCCAACTATAACTCAAGCTGCTTTACAAGTTTTCAGAATTTAATATTTTTTAAATATTTATTGCAATCATGTCATTTTTCAAATATGATTACATAAATAGAAATAAAATTTAATAAGTATTTTAGACTCATTCTTATTATTTTAGTTAGGCCTTCATACTGATCCATGCTTGAAAGATGTTAGGCTCCAAAATTTATTGTATTCTTTTTATGGCAACATGAAAATAGGTAAAAATAATGTGGGTGATCCTATTGCTACTGTTACTTACCATAACACGATCAAATATTATTTTTAAAAATTATATGAAGAGTATGCTGCTAAACAAGGTGGAAATTCTCAAGCTACGGCTAATATGGCTTTGAGCTCTATCTTGAGCACGGGATCACGTTCATTTTGATAGGAAAATGTTAATAGACCAACTAATTGATTGTAGTGGTAGTGATGGTGGTGGTAGTAGTTGTAGTGAAGGATCATCATCAGTAAGGGAAGTTTCTAATCTTGTACAGTTTTGAATTTCAACTTTATTTGAGAGTCAAAATAATCAGGTATGTGATATTTTATAATGATCGAAAGTATATGGAGCAATTTCATATCATGTGCTTTCTATCATGGCTCATGATTTGCTAACAGTGCAGATTTTTACTATAGCTTCGGAATGCGCTTTTAGCTAGTCTAGTTGTGATGTATCCATCTGTAATAAATTATTTTAGAAGAGTTACAAATGATATTGATATAGATGAGTAGGTGCCAACCTACTCATTGTTGGATGAGTTACAAATTGTTTTGTGAGGAATGTACTCATCTACTGTGATGTGGAGATTTAAAAAAAAAATATTGTAATTGTTAGAGATTTTGCTATTAATAATAAAATAGAATTGTTAGAAGTCATGCAGCACCGACTACAAGAAACCTAGAAGCTTCTCTACCCATCTAGCAAACTTTAGAAATTGTCATTAGAAGCTGCCATGGAGATTTTTGGAAATTTCTAGAGAAAAAAAACAAACCGACATTGAACCTTATAAAAGAGGTTGCTGCCATTCGGTTTGGGTCAAGGGAGTGAAAACAAGAGAAGGGTTGAAGAGTAGGCTCTGTAGAGTTAAAGAGAGAGTGTGAGAAAAGAAGTGAAGTGATTGTTTTGTAGAAATAGAGAGATAGGCTGAAGCCTAGTGGGAGTTAGAGTGGCTATGAGAAGAAAAATTTTAGAGAGAGAAGAGTAAGGAAGTGACGTGTAGGTGCAAGAAACGTGTAGGAGAGAAGTGCACTACTTGTAATATTTTTTATCAAAGAAAATTTAAGTTGAAGTCCATTTTTGTCCAAAAGTCTTTGTTCAAGTCCTTATTTGTAAGTGCTCATTCCCTCAAAGTGGTATCAGAGCCTCGTTCGATCTAGCCGGGCTAATCAAAGGTGCTCATG